AATAAGCTTAACCCTCTTCCCTACAAAATCCTCCGTGACCTTGTTCACCACCTGGACGAAGGAGGTCAGGCTACTGCTGGGAATTCACGTCGATGATGCCCCAATTCCGACGGTGAATAACTCCAAAATACTCCGAGTAACCTTCGACAGTCTGCTCTCCTTCTCTGCGCACGCAACCGTTGTTGTCAACAAAGTACAGAGCCGCGACAAGGTCCTCAAGTCGCTAGCCGGCAGTACTTGCGACAAAAACAAAGAAACGTTGCTGGCAACATACGAGGCAATAGGCCGTCGCCGGGGACTGAAATGCAAGAAATACCAAACATTTTTGATTTTTTAGAAAAATTTTGAGATGCAGTTTTGTAGCCAGTCCATTAAATTTCGGGATAATAAATTGCAAGTTTCAAGACGCTAAAATTGATGTTTGAGATTTTTTTTTTGTTGAGGGTGTTGCGTATTTTCTTCCATTGCAGTTTTTGTTTGCGTGATTATGCGCAACTGAATTTGAAGTTTCCTCAGACGTGCATCTCTAAATCACAATACAGTAACGTTGAGTATTTGGTAAATAACATATGTATGTATATATAGCACCCGCTTCTGAGCATTCAAGATTTCTTTTCATGTGCAAGCTATGAATTGCAAATTCGGGGAAAAAATAATTCAAAATATACATAATTATATATTATTAATTTCAGAATACCAAGATGACACGGCCTTAATTCCCAAGAATACGTCTCTGATTATTGCTAGGATTCCGATAACTCAACCAAAAAAGATTTGGAATCCTCAAAATATAGAAAAACCACAGCAGGTGCGAGCAACTTCGCGAGGAGATGGTAACTCTTTGGACTTATCAAAGATGAAAGGCAGTGAAGAGGATAAAATATTGGAAATGATGATTCAAAGTACAGCCGATTACGATCCTAAAAGGTAAAATTAATACCTAATTCACAATGTAATAGTATATTTCTTGGCTATGACTGAAGCAGCAATATGTCCATATTTATGTTCATTATAATTTCCCTGAACATTGCTAAAAAATATAAAAATTGTCTCTTAATAATAACACTGGCCAACAAAATTTTGCGGCACAGCCTTTGAGAGCTGATTGCTATAGAATTTTTTTCATAGATAAACAATATGTCCTTTATTATTCATTTATTATTGACTCTAGTTTTCGAGATATTTGGGATCGAATGTATCAAAAACGCATTGTTAGATTTTTTTTTTTACTTTTTTCTGATCAGTATAAAAAAAAAGCAATTTTCTGATCAGTATAAAAAAAAAGCTTGAGTGTTACCATTTTATACCAAAAGATAAAAAAGATTATATTTGGCGTAATTATTTTCCAATAGAAGTTCAAAATATGGTAACACTTGTCGATCTTTTGAATCCAAAATATCTAAAAAAAGAAGAGTCAATTGAATAATTTTAAGGCCAGAATCTGATTCTACGGAAAAAATCATTTGAAACCAGTGTTCACTGGTTGGGCCGCACACGCTTTTTGTTGGGCTGTGTAATCAGGCATTTTCTACAAATCACACGATTGGAAATCGGTGTGATTTGCAAAACCGTTTTTTATAGATTTTTTAAAAATATTAAAATCTTGACCCTAAACGGATGAATACGACGTTTTTAGCATTTTCCATAACTTTCATTATAAATATTCAAAAATATTTTGCTAATCACACCGATTTCAAGTTGTACGTTTTCCAGGCGGGCCTGAATTAAATGAATATTTTAAATTTCAGCTATCACAGAATAAGGGGACACTCTCAAGTCGGTGAAGTTCCGCCTTCATATCGCTGTAATAGGTGCAAGAAAACGGGGCATTGGATAAAAAATTGTCCTTATACTGTAGGCAAGGAGCATAGTGAGGTTAAAAGGAATACCGGAATTCCCAGGTCATTCCTTGATAAAGATGATAAGTAAGTGAACATTTTTATTGAAGGAATTAAATCATAATGTAAGTTTTTCATAAATTGTATTTGGGCTACAGGACTTTACGCTTTCTCCTATAGTCAAATACAATTAACGATTAAAAACTTTAATAGGCCGCAAATAACAAAAGGAACAAATTTCAATTCAATGAAAAATATGAAAGTATTCCATAAATTTCGCAAGACTTGAGTGTGTTCAAAGTGGTTAGACGTTGCAGGTTAACTTCCTCAAGCTACTTTTTGGCCTTTCACACAGTGATCACAATAAACTTTGAAACGACAATCAATTTAAGACGTTAAAAATATTAAAACCATCTTTATTGGGTTTATGGTGATAAGGTTTATGCTGATGCTACCTATTATAGTAAAAGACAACTAAAAGGGCGTACCTCCGGCTATTACCGTTTCGATTCTAGTAACGCATTTTAAGCTGTGCCTCAATTTTTTTTAATGACAGTTAAACTACTCTGACTTTCAAGGCCTCATACATATATCGTACGTTGAATTATGCATTCAAAATTTATTTTAAATTTAATTTACAAAATTTTAATTTTGTGGGAAAACGCAATTAAAGTTTGATCACAGATTAACAGATAGAAAGACACATACATACATAATACATATCTTCGCAATGTTTTGGGAGCTAAGTTATCAATTATACTGAACATATCTGTGTTCGTATGGAAAAGTAGCTTCCCAACAAGCAAAATAAACTTAAAGAAAGTTTTTTTTAAGTTTTCAATTGTAAACATTAAGCTTACAAAACGTTGATTTTTTGTTTATAAAACGCTTGAAAGTAAGCGTAATATAATCGAAAAGGAACNACACAAAAATTAAGCATAAAAAAGTTAATTATTACATCTTGTTGCGTGCTTTCAATTACATGCGGTTATTGGCAAATTGGAAAAACGACATCGATGCAGCTATATATTCCGCTTCATCGCCGCCATTCTCATTGATGAACTTTTCTGAAAAAAATTTAATACATTTTTAATAGAATGTTAAACTAAGAAAGGATAAGGAAAACTCATCATTTGAAGACTCGAATGCTCCACCGATTAGCGCAGCGGGTCCTGGATTGGATTTTATTTTACCGCATCGGTTTTATTTAATTTTTTCTTTTAATAATATATTTTAAAAAAAGTAAACACGTCACTTACGATTGAAAAAATGTTATATTTACTTCTTCATGTCGTTGGCATTTGCATTTCATTTATAAGTTTAAGTAATTTATAAACATTCTCTCTCAAAACTTATTAAAGGTTTATTTGAAAAAACTTGTAATAAGCTTAATATTAAAAATGCTTATTTGACGCTTATTATAGCAAACTTACTTTAAGTTATTTTTAAAAACATTTACTGAAATGCTTGTTGGGTTATGTCGAAAGGCCGGCTTTAGTATAATGCGGCATTCCCTTTATTTTTTAAACGACAAGGAATTTTTTGATGAGACTTAAAAAGAATATTGACTTGCTAGCATCGGAACTACTTCTTGCACGTTTGTTTGCTAAAAGTTGTTTAACGGCTTAGCGCCCGTAAGTCATTCGCAATCGTATGCTGCGAATGCCGATTTATACTAAAGCCAGCCTTTCGACATAAGCTACTTTTCCATACGAACACAGATATTCTCCATATTAATTGTATGATGAAATATCCGAAAAGGTTAATTTTGAATTCTCTATATTATTAAATGTGCTATATTGTTTGAAGTCGGCAAAATCATAGTCTTATTAATTACAATCTTTTTATTCGCTACAGTTGCATATTATGTGCTACTTTATTTGTAATTTTTGTAAAACCATATCGCACATTTGCTTCAAGAGTGCTATAATCCAAAAAATGAAAACCTCGAGAAAAAAGCTTTAAAGTTTTGAATTAACACACATACGTACATATGTATGTATACTCGCATAGTAAAACTGAATGCATATTAGTTGTGTTTGCTTACAAATTATCCAGTAACTTGCCAACAACTCTCCAGTAACATAATTTCTGAGAATTCGCTCTCATAGAAAAAAAAATCCAAAAAAGTACGCGAACCCAAATCCAGTAATAATTTGCAAGTTTCATGAACAGCTGATAAGTTGCTTGTTTATTCGCAGCAAATTCCTAATAAAACAATATATTTTTATATTTAAATAGGTTTATTTTGTCAATTTCAACAAATAAAACCCATAAACAGCTTCGTTATTAGTTTAAATTGCATCCAGCAACATGCGATCAGCATTTTTTCGTACTGGCAAATTCTTACAAGTAAAAATTTATCCAGTAAAAATCCAGTAAAAACTTGCAATTTCCCCTAGTTTGCAAGCTCTTGCGTACAAAAATGCTAAAAAATGAAAATTCGTAAAAACTATTACTGGAAATGGGTGAACAAACACAACTATTGTGTTCTAGTCAACAGGTTAGAGTTCGACCGATTCCCAATTTTTGGCCGACAACAAATCGCCAAAAATCAACACTTACCAAGCTACTTCAAATTTGCACTTTATGTACTTAAATTAAAAAAACTGCGTACTCAAAAAAACTAAAAAATCCGATTAAACAAAAAAATTTAAAATTTACCTTTATTTGTTTCGGTCAATTATAAAAGTTAAAATTTGACTTTTCTTTTTTCGGTCAATTATAAACGTTAAATCTGACCTTTAGTTTTTCGGTGAAAATAGCAGTTTACATATTCACTATACAAGAGTGGTATTCACCAAATTAAGAAAGTAAGTAGCCTGGCACTCTGACAACGACTGTTGTCAACTGTCGTAGCTTGAGCTGATCTGCTCTTCTGCCAGACTGCCAGGCCACTTGCTCACTTAGGTGAATACCACTAATATGTTTTAATAAAAAATTCACATCCTCTCAATTGCAGTTTTCTATCTTCTGTAAACATTGCGTTTCTTTAATTTAAGCTTTCAGTTATTCACCTTTTTACGGGAATGATTCGGAATTCAATTTAACAATTAATATAGCTGCCAAGTTCTGCTCCGACATATTTTATCGCAAATCGCTAAGAATAATCGTTCTACACTGACTTGCGTCGCTGGCACTTGATGTATATATAATACATACCAAATCTCTTAGGCGGGGATATATACATTTTTTGCTCTCCCAGTAATCCATAAGGTCCGTATCAACATCAATGCGCTTATCCTTATACATAGGTGTCTGTTTCCATAAATGCTTTTCGAACGTAATCGTCGGAGAACAGAAAAGTGACGTTTTGACTTTTATATTTGACTGAAAAGATAAAAGTCAAATTTTAACTTTTATTTTTGACATATATGTAATACTCCTATATTGGCAGTAAGAGCTAGTACCGTCCGAAAACACTACAGTACAGATATATCAATAAACACGTACGAAAGAAAAGGAACACATACGTTTATAAATAAACATGTACACAACATATATACAAAAACGGCACTCAAGTACACAATACATTGACAAAAACGGTACTAGACTGTCTCGCTTTGATTTCGGAATGCTTACACATTGAGAAGTTAGCTTACTGCCAATATAGAAGTATTACATATATGTATGATTTTTGACCGAAAAAATAAAAGTCAATTCATAACTTTTATTTTTGACTGAAAACGTATCGGTGAAAAAACAACGATTTTTTTACCTTTTTGAAAAAAAGCATAACCGTTACGGTCCCTGGATTAAACAATTTCAAATTTTGATGAACATTTGTTAAAATTGCGGAAAAATAACTAGTAATTTTTAGCAAAAAAAAAACCGAGTTCAACTCCCATATAAAAATATATATATATATATCTATCTCATGATCCGCTGATCGGATCTTAACCAGATTAGTATGGGACCACCTCTGAGACACTACCTTTCCGATGCAAAAAGAATTATCGAAATCGGTTGACGTGGTCCAAACTTATGCGGTAACATACAAAAAAAAAAAAAAAAAAATATTCCGACGAACTGATAACCTCCTCCTTTTTTGGAAGTCGGTTAAAAAGAATCGGCTAAGAGTCGGCCAAAAACGGCCGATGCCGATGTTGATTCTTTTGGCCGATACTAGCCGATGCCGATGACGATTAATCGGTCGGACTAACAGGTAGTGGTCATTTCTGAATACTCTTGCTCCTGCAGCAAATGTGTAATATGTACATATATACATATAAATACATCATATGCCCTCGGTGTTCATATAAAAATTTTAATTTTTTTCAGCGAGCCGCCTGCTGATTTCCCTGAGCCAGCAGTGGCAATTGAGAGCAAGAAGGAAATACCTGAAGATTTAATATGCAGCATTTGCAAGGACCTATTTGTTGACGCTGTCATGATCCCCTGCTGTGGAAGCTCATTTTGTGATGACTGTAATATTACTTTGGATCTTGAAATTAACTTTTGTTTTCACTAAAATATATTTTCAGGTGTACGTAGTGCACTTCTTGAATCCGAAGAGAATGAGTGCCCCGATTGCAAAGAAAGAGGTTGTTCGCCAGGTTCATTGATTCCAAACCGTTTTCTACGTAATTCTGTAAATGCATTTAAAAATGAAAATGGCTATACAAATTTGAGATCCAAGAAAGGTATTTAATATAAAATGAAAAGAAAAATATAAAGAATAATATTTACTAAAAATCATTGCTTTAGTTATTGTAGAAAAAGCTAATGATCAAGGAGAGAATACGTCAACGAAAGAAAAAGTTGAAACAGCTGATGTAAAAAAACCAGAAGAAAAGCAAATAGAAGTGTCAACTACTCCAAAGGAAATATCCAAATCTGATGAAACAATAAAAGAGAAAGATGTTGAAAATAGCTCAAAGATTGAAGCAACAAAATTGGAGGAAATTGAATCTGATTACGAGGATAACATAACTATCATGATGCCTCCAGTACCTGCGAAAAATACGAATGCTGGCACTGTCGAACATAGCGGACGCAGTGTTAGCCACCCGAAACCTCCTGGTATAGAAAGCTCTCCACGTCACAAGATGCAGGTAACATATGCAAATTTTTGGATATATAGTTAGGAATATTACTTAGCGAAATAAACTATGGCCATTTATAATGGTGATATTATGCGATCTTTTATAAAACAATGCATATAAGCTAAGCAAAAAAAAATATTCCCGTATGTTATAATAAAAAAATAAAAGGTGTGAAGTTTTATTATCTTTAGAAAATGACAAAAAAATAATTTAAAACTCAAACCTCTTGTGTATACACTCAACAAGATTTAGATCCTTTAAATAAAGTCCATATTTAGATAGCCAGTCTAACCAAACAAATCTCTAGCTGTAGTTCCTATAAACATTAGAGTAGCCATTAGCAATATCGGAAAAAAGAAGTGTTAAAATTCGTGGTATCACCTTCTAAATATGCGAGTATACTTAAAATTACGAAATACAAAGTTTTAGACAAAGTGAGAAATAATTAGGGAAGGCTGCCAGCGACTAAAAACCTGAAAAAATATATTTTATAATTTTAAATAAATAAATAAATAAATAATAACTACGATTTTTGTTTAGGTGTCCTATTTTGAAAAGTTTTCCTTATTAATAACATCTGTAATCTATAAGCTTTTTAAATGTCTAAAGTTAGAAAAAGCCGCCACCAATATCGGAATTTTAAGCCACTACGATAAGGAAACTAAGGTATCTTATCTTAAATTTTAAGCGTAGGATACGTAAAAAGCGTATGTCGTAAAAAACGACTATTATTGAACGAGCCATGACTATCAGCTCTGATATCCTATCTTCAGCTTTTTGAATCACTTAAAAAGTAAAATTCTCAATCTCAGTCTTATGAATTATAAATTAAAATCAAAGTAATTAAAAAAACTTGTTTCTATATTCGGGCTCAAATATGCTTGACAAAATTGTTAATACACTTTATATTCCCTTCTGTAAGTGTTTTAAGAAGTTCAATCCAGTTGTTATTAAGATATTGGTTTCTGATTTCAACCAGATCCAAAGAGTCTAGGAATACGTCCTTTAAAGAGAACGTGTCTCCGAAAAGTGCACAGGTCAGGAGATGGTGTTGAGTGCCTTGGGTAATCTGCGCCTTCGGGATGTCGGTAGGGCTATGTATATTTGTTAGGTGTCTATTTATATGGGATGTAGTGATGGTGGTTAAACTGTAGACATTCGCACTTCACTTTTACATGGAGGTATCATTTGATTTCCTCTTTATTCTCGCACCTGCCATGTTTTGTTGCTGGTGGAGAGGAAGGGGATTGTTGCACAATCGGCCATTACGTTGCCGTAAATTTCTATGTGACTCGGTATCCAGAGCAAGCGTATATTAGAACGGCTACCGATGACTAGGGGCCATTTTTACAGTGACGAGTTAACTCTCATTCGGCAGTTAACTACTGGTTTTCAGTACAAAAATTGAAAGTTAACTGCCGAATTTGAGTAAACCCCCGACTGTGAACATGACACTAAGTCTTTTATTCGATTAATACACCGAGAAAAAAGTAACATGATTTTATTAGAGTGTTTTTGGTTTTTCCATGTTAAACGTAGAATCCAGTTTTATAGAAAAACAAAGAATCAAATAAAAACGCTAAAGAAATGAAAAAGAAATTTTCTTCTTTCAAAATTTCTTAAATCGGTTTGTATATTCTCATATAATACATTTGTTCATATGAAAAATTATGGGGAGATACTGTTAATATACTGTAGTGACAATGTAAAGCATATGAATTTATAGCAAGTTCGATTTTCATACATCTTCCTCTAAAAACTTTTACAGATGCAGGGATGCCAAATGAGAACTGTTGTTTTTGTAGCGGCTACTGAGCCCCGTTCGGGGAGGTTCATCCCTCAACGTTGTCGTCAATTTCAGCTAGGGGGAGGCCCAGGAAGTGTGCAACTTCCACAGGGGCTGTCCATAGGGACAGGGGCGTTAGCTGAGTGGGCTTCTCAGGGCATGTGAAGAGGTGCCGGGAGTCATGTGGCGACTCTCCACATGCCGGGCATTGGTTGGGCACATCCTCGTTGATTCTACTCAAGTAGGAGTTGAGCCTGCTGCAATAGCCAGAGCGAAGTTGGGCTATTGTAGTGCGGGTCTCTCGAGGCAGACAAAGTTCTGTCCCGTCCACGTCCGGTGGTTGTGTGCCTAGAACGGCATTCACAGGGCGGGAGTCTACATAACTTGAGACTGATTCCCTGTGAATGACGTTCAGGGCCTGTCGGTAGGTTGACGGGTCCAGAGGTTGTTTGATAAACCTCTGGACTTCGTCCGTCAGTTCGTAAAGATGCCTCCTGACGTGCCGCGGCGAGGGCTCTTCCGCGAGCAGCTGTCCGCTGGGATGGCCACGTCTGTGGCTCCCAGCAAGGAACTGCGTGCAGAGCATTATGTTATGCTCTTTTACTGGGAGCATCTGGGCCTCATCGTGTAGGTGGTGTTGGGGCGTCATCAGGAGGCATCCTGTCGCAGTTCGTAATGTCGTGTTTTGGCACGTCTGTAGCTTCATCCACTGCGTCCTGCTAGTCCCCGGCGACTATACGGGCNGCAGCTGTCCGCTGGGATGGCCACGTCTGTGGCTCCCAGCAAGGAACTGCGTGCAGAGCATTATGTTATGCTCTTTTACTGGGAGCATCTGGGCCTCATCGTGTAGGTGGTGTTGGGGCGTCATCAGGAGGCATCCTGTCGCAGTTCGTAATGTCGTGTTTTGGCACGTCTGTAGCTTCATCCACTGCGTCCTGCTAGTCCCCGGCGACTATACGGGCGACATTGTTGCGGCTCTGAACTTTGTTGACAATTGCGGTTGTATGCGCCGAGAAGGAGAGCAGACTGTCGAATGTAACTCCGAGGAATTTCGGGTTATTCACCGTCGGTATTGTTTACTTTCGAGCACAAGTCATCAATTCCATTCCCAGACGCCATGATCGAACAATCCTCTGGTGGCTGAGGAAGCTTTGAAATGTAATATTTAAACAGTAGCGGGGACAGGACACCAGTGAGGAGTGAGGAGGCCTCTACATCTTCTAGTAGCGTTGAATGACTGACAGTGTCGAACGCCTTGGACAAGTCCAACGCTACTAGAATAATTCTCTCACAGGGGCGGTTTCGGTTTAGGCCACGAGTTATCTGAGTGTTTATGGCGTTAAGTGCTGTTGTGCTATGCACTTTACGGAACCCATGTTGATGCTTCGCTGGGATCAGGTGGTTCCTAAAGTACGGGAGCAGCAGGGCCCCGTGGAAAGGAGAGTTATCGGGCGATAAGACCCTCCTTTGTTGGCT